AGGGGTGGTTCTTAGATCAGGAGGACCTGTGGTCTTGGGCTGCAGGGCAGAAGGACACACAGACTGTCACTGGTGAGAGTCTAATCTAATCCATGTCCTCCATCTCACATCCCACAACCACAGGGCAGTGGAGGCCTTGGCAGTGTCAGCTCATACTGCTCTGTCAGCATGATTTATTATTCTAATGTCGTAGTTTTCTGGTGGCCTTCCCACCCAGAAAACAACAGAGCCGTCTACTGCCCACCAGAGCACCATGTACTTGTTTTATGCAATGGCTTGTAAGGAAATCCAGTGCATCAGGGATCTAGGGGGTCTCTAGCCCAGTTCTCCATTCTTTGGGTTAACAATACTCAAGGCAGATTCAAACTTGAGGTTCAGTAGCATTTGTTCATTGACATGTGAGATTCTCCTCCCTGCTTTCTCTAAGCTAAGACAGGCTTTCCAGAAATAAAGAGGGACACAGTCTGTGCAGTTTTGGAACTAAGGTTCTGCTTCAGATGCTATTCTGATTTTATTAGCCTATTTTGTACTGTGGTCCCATGTGAAGGGTCCTTGTAAGCCTTTGAAATAAACATAATAGTTGTACAATTTGAATAAAAGTCTTGAGTAAGCGGTGAGGGTTGTGGCAGGCATGTGTATGTATAGGGGTGCTGATCTAACTGCCCATCTCAAGAATGTTGGGATGTCAGCGCTGTCTTTTGCTCTCCTGTGGGAAGAGTGGGCAGAACTTTGGAATCTGTGCTGAGGCAAGTGGGAAGGCTACAGCTGCTCTGTCTTGAAGAAGGTATTCTCTGAAAGAAGGGAACACACCAGGACATGTGTGGGCTAAACTGTAGGAGATGGCCATTCCTTTAGGCCCCAAAGAGTGCTATATCATTAGTTATCCATGGCTCAACTAATGAAAGAAACCAAAGACATGAACTCTCTTCTAGAACATGGAGCCATTACAAATCCCCCAGTTCAACCCTTGCGGATATAATATTTTAGGCATGAGGGGACATACAATTAAAAAACAAAAAATCCACCAAGTCTTCTGTTAGGGAATGAACTCTGTACTCTCAACCCTCATCCATATACTAAAGTCCTAACCCAAAATATTTCAGAATGTGAGCTGATTTGGCTACAGAATTACGGCAGAGCTGATTAGTTAGGATGAAGCTATCATGGAATCAGGTGGGCTCCTAATACAATATGCTCTTGTCCTCAGAAAAAGGGAAGTCTGGATGCAGAAATATGACCACAGGGAGAAGTCCATGTGAAGATGGCCCAGGAACTACTAGAAGCTAGGAGAGGGGCATGGACCATTCCCTTCTTGGTGCTTTCAGAAAGGGCAAGGCCTTGGCAGCATGTTCACTTGTGGGCTTCTGGCCTCCAGAACTGTGAGACAGTATGTTTCAGTGCTCAGGTCACTGTGACGCTTTGTTATGGCAGCCCTGGCAAGTTAGGACATGATACATGGCCTAGGAAAGCTGTGATCCCTGAAATAAGACCCGTGCCTGGCCCAGAATCCACCTTCTCAGGTACTTGCAGGAGAACATTTTACCAGTCACAGGGAGAGGGGAGGACTCAAGTGACTTTCAGGACCCTCTACAACCAAATTGAGACTCAAAGTCTGTATGTGCATCTGTGCCTAAGTTCATGAAGCTCCCAAAGGCCAGTGGATCTTGGGTCACAGGGAGGGAGGGAGAGGGAATGAGGACTTAGAGTCTAACTGTAAATCTTCTGGGCCCAGAGGAGCTGCCTCTAGGGTCTCTAAGGAAGCCTTAGCTTTAGGGCCATTGTTGGATTTAACTCATGGTTTGGAAAGACCTTGAATATTTGATTTTGGATCATGTTTTTCTATTCTTTCTAGCGTGTGGATATTAAAATGAAGTTATGATTTGATACAGGAAAGGAAAACAGATTACTCTGTTAGAAAATTGGTCTTTTTGGATCCACAATTTGGAGAAGTCAGTGCTAAAACTGGTTGCTGAGAGGCATGCCAACCACCTTGAAGAGATGAGAGCGAGTGTGGTGATATAAGATAATTCAACTATGCATTTCCAACATGGACTTTTAAAAACATATCTAATGTAAAATCCACCAGCACTTGGCCTCCGTAGATAGCACATTTTTGCCCATGGAGGGAGATGATGGCTTTTGAAGTTGACAGAGCCTATCAAATTTTTATTAAAATCCCCAGAGCTGGAAGAGCAGTTTGCTGGATAGAGAGCAGATTTTCCTTAAGGGAAAGAATGTGCTCTGTGTTGTTGCCTTTTTTGAAAACAATCTTGCAAAATGGGAGCAGCTGTTTTGCAAATTATTTTTGTGATGGAGATGGAAATCTTCTACCTTTTATTTTTTGCATCCCCGAGTGAGCATGCAGAAACACACATAAATATGCCCAGGATCTTCCTGTCCTCGCTCCTTAGTCCCCATCTATTCCTCACTTCCTTTTTTCCTTTCCTTTTTGATGTGTGCTGATAGGGAGAGTTTCTCATGCTGGAGCTTTGCCTCTGAGTGACATAAGGGAAATTAAAAGGGAAAAGATCAATATGTATATGAGGATTCAAGGACAAGTGAGAGCAGGACAAACCATGTGTCTTTTAGTTCAGACAGGGAGCGCAGATATGAGTAGTCTGCTACTCTCTCCCCACGGGTACCAACTTCAGCAGAATCTGGGCTGCATGACTGTGGGGGCTGCTGCCAGCTGATGAGCCAAGGTCCAGGGATCCAGCGCAGACATCACATAAATCAATGCCAATTCAACAGGGAAGATATTTTAACCTTGTAGGGTCATTGTGTGTGTTTCAATACATGGTCCATTATTTAATCTCCAGGAAAGTTGCATACTGGCCCCTACTCTCTCTGCTCATTTGTAATAACCATACCATCCAGCTCATGACAAACTGCAAAATGAAACCACCTCAGTACCCAAAAACAGATGGGGTGGGAGGTGGGGACAGTGCCAAGGGAACACATGCATCTTGGCCAATGCAACACATTCGGTCCCTTCTTTTGTGAAGCTGAGGGTGAGGAGGAGGTAGCTACAAACAGAGACGTCAGTCAGTGTGGACTCTGGAAAGGGGCCCCCACTTTCTCAGTCCATCCTAGTTGGATCTCAGGGTGAGAGCTCTAACTGCTCTCAGAAGGAGACAGAGTCAAGTGCTTAGTAAGTTACCTTCCACTAATTCCCAAATGGGCCTCCATCCTTCTGATCCTACCCCAGTGGCTTAACTGCATCACTGGGAGAAAAAAACAAAGCTATGGTCCCTCGTCTTTATAGAGTTAACTCCCAGAACCCCAGTTCTGTAATGGTAAGATCGATAGCTGCAGTTCTTGTAGGTGAGACAATAACTGAGTTCCAAGTACTGCTTTGTTACCAGCAAGACTCTCCATTCAGCTGCTGTGGTCAGCTCTCAGTTTTGGGAAATAGAACTTCACGGTATAAACATTTACATCCTCATCTTTAGACTCTAAAATATAAAGGCTCCATGTATTTTCATTTAAGGGAAAACTGACTCATCAGTAAGATAAAGTTATATCAAAGTAGTGTTGGGAGACCTGTAAAGATATGAGCTTTAAATGTTTTGCAATGGTTAGCAAATATTTAAGCAGCTGAGTGGCAAGTTGGTAAGTTTTTGCCAAGGGTGATAGTAATGGAGTGTATTCTTTCAGTTTTTCTAGCTGACATTGTGACATCAGAGCCAACTTATTCTCATTATTTTGAAGGATTTATGGTAAGTCCTATTTTGTAACAGTAGATGCCATTATCCTGATTAAATTTAGGTACACTTCCGCTTACTTTTTTCACGAGCAACAAGCCCTAATATTTTGAAAAAGCTAGGATAGACTTATTAAAAATATTTCCTGGAGAATCATAAAATATATCCCATCCTTTTAAATATAACATTCCCTAGAAAGCCTAAATTAATGAGAAAATTTAAGAGAATCCCTAAGTTTTAAATAGGATCCCCATCTGACATTTAAGATAAAGTCATAAGATAGGGTCACAAGTTTGATTTTACATATATCAATGACAAATTATCTAGGGCTTTATGTTGACCTTAGTTTGATGAATAAAGCATTGGAATTTGTTAATTAATTAACTCATCATTTAACAAATACTTTTTTGAACACCACGGCCCGGGCTAGAAAATAGTGTCTTTGGGATTTGTAAACAGAAGGATGCAGCAGTAGTGAGGTGAATTTATGGGAAGCAAAAGCAAGAACACATAGAGAAAAGACCGAGGAGGCCTGTCTCCAATATTGTCTTCCAATATGTTGGTGATGGGCTGATGATGAACTGCGCTGCACAGAAAGAACCCTAACTAGTGGTGAGAATACCTCCCAAGAAGTGATCAGACCCCAAATATTTTTAATTGAATGACTGCCGCATGGGCAATTTCACTTAGATTTTTGAGTCATATCTGGTTGCCCACACCCATTCTCATCCTGTTGTGCTTTCTTGTGGATTCAGGAGCAGAATGGGCTTCCTTCTTGATGGTCAGACACTTCATGTCCAATGGGATACTCCACTTATCCCAGTTTTGATGAAAGGCATGTGGGAGGTTAAAGCTGTTCCTGTTCATGGATAGGGGCTCTCATTCTTGGGGATGTCTGCTTGAGATTTGGGGTGCAGCTTCTCCTGGTTTTGGTAAAAAATAAAGTCTATCACCTGTTATACCACCCAGGACTTCAGGGTAGAAAGGAATTTCTTTCTGCTTTTAGAGAAACTGGATAAAGGAACTATTAATGATGAGAAGATTTTTTTTTTTGCCTTAGTAAACTTTGAATTAAACTTTTTTATTTTATAAAAAATAAAACCCCAGGTTTATGGTAGAATGCTGAGCTTTTTGGTGATTTTTGGAAATAGAGCTTTCAGAATAGAAAGATATTTAAGTATATGTAATCATGTCTCAAGGTCTGAGAAATTAGGAATTAGAAAGCTTTTTTCCCCCAAAAATATTATACCATAAAACTTTTATATATACAAGTTGTGGGAAAAAGAGAAGCCATACCTTGTTAAAATATCCACCAAGAGTCTGTTGTATTCCTTGTAACCGAGGAGGTCCCTTGTAGTAGAAACAAACCAAAGACAAATATATAAGTATTTGTCAAAACCATGTGTACTTAAATAATATATCTAGTCATACAGTCAAGAAAAAAGAGTCTATTCTAATTAATTAATACAAAATTAAGAATTATATGGACATTAACTTCGCCGATTCTTACAGGTTTTTCTAGGTTAAGTCTTACATAAATCCAAAGACAGGTCCTGGGTGGGAACATGTAACACTTTACAGGAATTCAACAACCAGTGTGTTCTTTATTAAAAGGAATTGTAAGATTCTTCCAGGGAGGAAGTTGTAGCTTCAGTTTATTTTTGACACTTTTCTCAGGGTTTTGATAAATGTATTGTAGAAATATGTGCTCTCATATGTTATTAACTTAGAAAATGTGGGGAAAATATTTTTTTTTCTACTGTTTTTCCCTTTGAAAATGGGCAGTACACAGACTTTGGGGCCAGAAGATGTCTGTTATAAAGCTTCAGATTTAATGCTTTTAAATCTTGGTAGATTTTAGTTGCTCTGGAAGAACTTCCTAAGAACTATGCCAAGTGATAGGACTAGATAAAGGTTAAGACATCTGTTCATCCCTATAGCTTCAAGGAAATAGAGAGAAGTTTTCTAGAGATGACATTTTGGGGAGAGGGCCAGAAGAAAATACAAAGCTTAGGATTATTTTAGATCAAGCCACAGTAGATTCAGCTATCTCAGAAAAGAGGCTGTATGTTCTATCCAGACCTTGAAAGCTAGAAGGTGAGAAAATATTATCGAGGCAAAGTTCATACCATTTTACCTTGGAAGATAAGACACAGAAAAAAGATAATTGAGCAAATCAAGTAGCATTGTTACTCAAAAATTATTTTGAAAGGGGAATACAAGCATTGAAAAGTAAAGCAAAACATTTAAGGAACAATTGCTAGTTGCATATAGAAAAAAATTAATCTTGGCTAATATTTGTTTCTTATGAATGGCTTGTGACCAATGATCTCTTATAATAGGAACCTTTGCATTGTGCATGAAACATAAAGGACCCAAGGATGTGGTGGTGGATGCTTGGGAATGGGCTGGTCTGACTCTTGAGAAAACAATGCGCCTCACCAGTCACACAGCCGACTATGACTGGAAAGATAAACGATGTTCTCACTTTGCTGAAATGAAAACAGCTAACATCAGAAAGAGAATTCCATGTCATTATATATTTCCACGTTTCTGTTCTCATTGGCCAGATTTGTGTAACATATTTTAGGTCAGTTAGGTGAAATAATGAGGAAAGCCATCATTGGGTTGGGGATTGTTTCATAGTTTCTAGCCAGGAATATACAAATTAATAACTCATTCTTACGAGGTTCCTTAATATCGATTCTTCTGCAGGTAGATAAAGAGTCACAGAGAAATGTGAGCGACACCACAGGTAGGTGCACAACAGGTCACGCAGGAGTTCAAGTACAGCATCCATCAGTAAGTGGATATGGATAAGGCCCATTAGATCAAAAAACAGTGATGGGCACATACATTTAGCTTCATATACATTCTTTCTAGCAAAAAGTGAGAGTCTTAATTATTAGGACTTGCAAAAATAACAGAACAATTAATACAGTCTCCTAAATACAGCAGAAAAATCAATCAACTACTAATAGCCAATTATTTATATGGTGGTAATCACGTGCCAGGGATTATAATACAGTTTTGGAATGGATTATCTCATTAAATCCCTACAGTGACTCCATGAGGAATAGACTATTGTTATTTTTGATTCAGAGATAAAGAAGCCAAGGCCTGGGAACTGTTAACTGGCCCAAAGCTCCGCCACTGGTTAAGCAGCAGTGCTAATTAATATTTAACATCAGCACGGGGCCCAAAGTCAGGTGTTGTCTCCTCTGCTATCTTAATGTAAAGCAGACTCAGCCTCAAATAACTTTTGTGGTAACATTTTTTATTACGGTGATGAGTTGTCATAGAGAATATGAGATGATCAGTCTTCCATGGTCTACTTACTATACTGAAATTGCAAAAAAAATCAACACAACTTTCACTTAGAACTGAGCATAAGCCAGCACTATCCCTGGAGCAGGAGGGGAGGAGATATGCACTTTGCTTTTAGTTGTAGCCCTACTGTGTAGCAGGAGAAGCCATTCTGTCACCTCTTTGCATCTCCCAACCATTTCCATGCATTCTCTCCACACCAGATGGGGGCAGATTCTGCCTGCATTCCAAAGCACAACTCTTCTCTAGTCACATCTGTCTTTGCTGGGGCAGCAGGTGATTCAGGAATGTAAAAGGGAGGGGCCTTCCAAGATTGTGGAAGGCAGTAAGATAAGAAGCAGCAGAGCAAACTGAGTGGTAGGGTTAGCACAGAACAGAAAAAGAGCAGAGTGGATGAGAATCATAAAATTAATAGGTGAGAATTTCTAAAAAACTGAGTGTGAACTGGGTATGACCCTCTACGAACTGGTTATCTACCCACCAAGTAGAGCTGAATTTCGTACACATGGATATATTCTTCACCTAGAGTCCTGAGCTAGCAGTTGAGCATCCTCTTGGGGGTGGGGTGGGAGAATATCGAGGAGAGTCGGTGCAGCTGCTCCTTCAAAAAATAATGATAAAATCATAGATCACAGAAAAGAGTGAAGGGCCAACAGGAAAGTCTGATATCATTCAGATACCTAAAAGATGAATAAACCCCCAAAAGTGATTTCCATATTTTCAAATGTTCTATTCTTGCCATAAAATGTCACATCTACCAAGTAATCCTCTAACTAGGTTTGATGAGAAATTTTAGGCCCTACTACTTAATCAGATGATGAGCATTTATGATGGCATTTTTCTCTTTTAGTCTCTAGAATACTTCGGGTCCCATAAATTCCAAGATTAGAGTAATAGAGATTTATATCCAACAGTCTACTTGCAGGCAGTGCTTCACACTCTCTCAGCGGGTGAGAGAAACCCTGCAGATACTGAAAGGAGACACAGAGAGAGTGCTGGGGACATGCAAGTCTACATGGATTCACTTGATTTTTCTGACACTGTCAGAAAGGAACATCCTCAACCAAAGCAGGGCACGGTGACTGTGGAGAAACTCTAGCATACAAATGCCAGTAGCAGCTTTCTGTTTATGATTAAAAAAAATATTGACCTTGGCGTCTTGGAATTGGTGCCCGACCTGTTCTGATTTGAAATGTGGCTGGAGAAGACTCAAGGAGCCAGGCACCTGTTTCCAAGTTTGGCAACAGCTCTAGGTCTTGCTGTCTGTCATCTCCAAGGAAGGGGAGGTTACAGACTTGAGGTAAGGGACAGATCTCCTGGCATCACAGGGTGCTAGTGCATGCTCCAGGGCACTCTTGGGAGGTCACTGTCTCTGAGGTTTGCATTTATGAAGACCCAGCGAGGAGACAGAGAGGTGACCCAGGCCCAGTGGAAAGGAGAAGCCAGCCACCAAAGACATGTCAGCTACTGTTCTCAGGAGCTCTTCTAGGAAAACCAGCTGAAGGTTTGTAGAAAGGAAAAAAGTCCTAATGTCTTTCTCACAACACTGACCAAGAGCAAGTTTGTACAGAAATCATGGTGGCACAAGTCTCTCTCCTATGGAGTTCTGGTTCACTCTACTTGAACTGGATTGGGAGACACAGGACATCTGAGATAATGTGAGGAGAACCCAGCTACAGAACAGCTTTAGATGCTAGTGAGCTCTAGGGAGGTGCACTTGGTCAAACCCGACTGTCCTGGTCTGGAATGATCTGGGAGGTCTCAACGCCTAGCGCTCCTGAGATTGTTTCCTACTGCAAAGCACCATACCTGGTGCGATGAGGTGAATTACAGCTTACCCAGTTTGGAATTACATACTCTCAGCAATAGTTTGAGTAGCATTTAAGAAGTTTTTGGCTAAAATCTTGCTGGCAGTAGGAAACAGAGAGACACCATGGTGGTTGTTACCAGAGTTATCAGATGCTTGGGGTAAAAATAAACTGTCACCCCCTTAGGTTTTAGCTTTGACTGCACATTCTCCAAGTTTAAACAAAAGAATCTTCTGTTAAAACCATACTGCCTTAGTCCTGGGCTCAGCTGAGCTTTGTTTTTCACCAGGTCACCGAATGTTGAACTCCAAGAACCATAGTTCTGCTGTTTCCTCACTGCCTTTGGTACGGCTCTCTGAACACCTAGGGTGAAGCCTTTGGATTTAGCTCCCACATCCTAGACCTCCTGGGCAAGGTCTCCAAACTCCACAGCCAGCTCCTCTGCTCACTTCCTCATCTGCACTCCAGAACGCTTTCCCTTTCTCTCTGTCCTCTAAAAGCACCTCTTGGTAGTTTCCATCCAGTTTTTATTTTTTATTAGTACATATTTGCAGTAAAAAGCACCCTTTAGTGTTTTAAACTTTGCTAACTGAGCCCCCTTCAGCAGTCTTCATGGTACTCATCTCTGTGAGCCACAGCTCCTCAATGCCCTGTGAGGAGCTCCTCCCTGTGGAGCAGCACTGCCTGTGGCCCTGTACATTTCCAGTTCCCCTCACAACCTCTGAAACACTTTGGACCTCTGTGAAGGAAGTTGTGCTGATCAACTCCTTCAAAAGAAGCTGAAAATACCTGAACATTTGTTATCGGAGAATCAGAGGACTCATTTTCAAGAAACACTTCCAATGTCTAGTGGCTAGTAGAAAAGGCGGAGATCAGTGATTATTTTTCCCTTGATATTTAATAAAAGTCATCAGGAAGTCTAAATTCAGACCCAGGAATGACAAGACGAAAAACAGAGTAATGGCTGGAAAAGCTCATGTCAAGATGAGTTTCCCCTCACATACATTTCCACCTATGACACATTGTCTGTCACATAGCAAAGTGTTTTGCCACTGACTACACTGACTCACGCACCGGCCCGTAGTCCCAGTTTTAATGAAAACCCCTTCTAAACCCATCTCAACACAAGCTGTGTAACAGAGCTCCCAACTCTCAGCTCCCATTCCCAGTGCCAAATGTTCACTGAATTCAACGAACTGTTGCTTTTCCATGAAA